TGGCTCAATGTCTCAGGCAGGGAGAGTTCCAGATGGGGCAGCGGAAGTGCCATCTACAGTGGAAAATTGTATGAAGGATGGGAAACAGAAGAGGCCAAGATTGGAGGAGCAGGTGGGGGAGTAGGACATTAGTTCAGATGTAAGATAGATATATCATGAAAGTATTTGGTTTTATGTTTAGCTTTAAAGATACTTTATATCATGTCTATAATACTCTTCAGTACATGATTATGTTTATCTCAGGATGATGAAATAAAAGAGCTGAAACAATAGATTCATACTGGTATTGGAAGACCATGAAAGCCCCAGCTTTTGGCTGTAATGTTCTAGTGAGAGAGATGTGCACCATGGTTTTCTGAGAACGCGGTTTTTTAAAACTTGGAGAACAACTGAATTTGTTATGTCATAAGACTCTTCAGTATTTCATTTTACTTTATTTATCTTAGAGGTACTATTATGAGACAGTGTTAGAATGTGGGAAGCAATTCCAAAGTTTTTTTTTTCCCCCACTCATTTCCACATTTTGCCTCCTTGTATTAAGGATTAGAGTATTTATATTTTATGTGCTAATTTTCAAAACTTTTATGCCCCCAGCAAAGAAAACTGAGCATTGAAGAGAAATTTTAAAAGAACACCGCTTTGTCATCTCTTTTAAAATTAAAGTTTGTAATAAAGCAGGATTTGGATTCTTCTTTTCCATGTTTTGAGATTGCCTCTCCCTATTGTGATACAAACTGATTTTGCTTCTGTGACTCCCTGTTCTTTCTGGTGTTACTGTTGCTTTAGTACTATAACTATGTAGATGACCTTGGAGTTAAAATAAGCAGTTAGAGAAAAGTAGACATAATTTTCAATTAATCCTTTTTTTTCTTTTTCACTTCCTGTTTTTGTTATTTGGTTGGTTTTTTCCCCTCAGTTTGTATGTAGCTCATTAAGTACCTCTTGATCCTCATGGTCTCCTTTTCACCCATCCCAGCTCAGTTTTTAGGAAAGACTTTTAAAACAGTAATGTCTAGCTTATTTCCCAAATTTCTGTTCTGAGGAAAGCATGGATGATGCTTAGAAGGGGGTACCATGGGCTTAGACTGCTATATTTTCTTCTGTGGGGTGATTCTTTTCCCCCCACAAGAAGTGAGGGGAGAATAAGAAGCATAAAAGGGGAAGAAGTTTTGTAATCTAATTTAGTCAGCTGAATGGTATTTATTACATTGTGAATTCCCAGAATGTCATTTAAAGTTTGTACTATGTAATTCAACATTAAATATATGCTGTTTGTATTCCTTTAATTTTTTTAATGTCTATTAGTCTCATTTCCCAAACAGATTGTAAGCTCTCTTGGGAGCAAGCGCCGTCATACTTTGATATCCCATAGAGTACCTACCAAAGTGCGGGGCACAATAAATATCTGGTTTATTTATTAAATGAGTATCACCCATCTATATTCACATGCATTCTGAAGCTAGATAGCTAGATAGGGTAATCCTATTTTAGCCTTTTTTTTTTTTGGTATAAAAGACCAAACATCTATTAGAAGACACTGAAATGAAGAATAAAATTCTGAGTGTTAGCCGTTTGTTTCTTTTTCTACCAAATCGATAGGAAAGATTATTATTTTAATTGTAGTGTTTAAGTTTTTATAGAGAAAGGAAGATATCTAAGTGCCTATGAGTAAACTTTTTATGTTGAGTAAAACACAATTTTTACTAAGCGCTATTTGATTTGTGCTGTACTGTATCAAAATTAGTCTAGCCTGTCCTGCCACAGTTTTCAATGTCATGGTGATTATATTAGTGATGGCATTCGAGTTAAGACAAGAGACAGTCACTGTTCTTTGACCTTTCCTTGTTATCATGAACATCTAGAATCCTTTAGTGACTTGAAGGTTTCAAGCTGTAGACTTTGCAGATGCCATGCTACCAGAGACTGAGGAGACGTGCCAGTCTTACCCTGTATGATGTTTCTTTGAGCCATGTAGGGCTTTCTCATGACCTTGACATGAAAGCAGAATGTTTAATTCAAGAATTAGTACCATCTCTGTAGAGTGGATGTCTGTACTGACTGACTGTACTGTCAATCACCAATCACCTTTATAAAGCACCTACTGTGCAAGGCATTGTGCCAGGTTATGGAGATACAAATGCAAAGATTGGAAGAGTCCTTACCAACAAAGATCCTTCCCTTAGTCCCAGTGCCTTTTTTGGACTGCTCCTGTTTCCTTTGCGTTTTTAAGGGTTTTTCTAAAGTAAAGATGCCAAGAATTAACACCTATCTCTTTCTGGACACACATTAGCTTTCCTCCTTCCCCTTCTTCTCCTTTTCCTCCTTCCATCATAGGACGCTTTGGATTCTGCTTGTTAGGCAGAAATGAGCATCTGACATGTCTCATAAATTCTGAATTTGCATGACATTTCAAAATGAACCAATCATGTAGAAATATTAAAACTGATCAAAAGTAAACTAGTTATTTTCAAAATTTTTTTTTGTAAAATTCACTAATTTGTAAAGCTTAAAAAAATTTTAGTGTTGAAGTTTGCACCTACAGAGTATTTAGTTCTTTGAAGAAGTCCCAGCTTTCCATTTTGATACTTTGGTTAAGCATTTAAGAATCTTGGGTAAATAGTTCAGTGTAATAGAATGATGGATTTTGAATTAGGAGACTTGAATTTGAAACTGGACTGACGCTGTGCGATCATAGGGAATTCACCTTACCTCTCTGGCCCTCAGTCGCGTAACCTTTTTAGACTGTTTCCTCATTTGTAAAATGAGGATGATAATTGTTCTACCTACTTCATGAGGTTTTTGTGAGGAGGGATCTTTGCAACCTTTAAAGCACTAAATGAATATGATTTTTATTGTCTAAATTAGAGATGAAGAGGTATAGGACTACTATGTTATGTAACATACAACATCCATAGTATAAACATGGCATATTTTCATATGAATCCAAATCTGTGAAAAGAGATAATTAAAAATTATTCACCAGCATTTATTAAGATACTCTATTCAGGGCACTGTATTTTGGAAAGCATTTTGTGAATTCCCCCCAGCAGACTGACTTTTATGATTAATGGTCATAAGCTAACACCAGTATATCTAGAGCCACAGAAGTTCAGAGTGGAAAAGAACTCAGGGACCATCTAGTCCAAGCCATCCCCCAAAAAAGAATTCCCTCTACAATATGCCTGCTGTGGGGTCATCTGGCCTTTGCTGAAACACCTCTTAGGGATATCTATTTATGGATAACTGTTGTTATTCTTGACATTGAGCCAAAATTGACCTGGTGCAGTTTCCTCTCTTTGCTCCTATGTCTGCCTTAAGTAGAACAAGACCTCTTCCAGCTGAAGGGCTTCAGATGTTAAAAGATAGCTATCAAATCCCCTCTGAGTCTGCACTTCTCCAGACTGGATATTCCCAGAATCCTTGAGGTTTCTGCTAGTCCTCAACCTCTTTCACCATCTCCCTTAGATGCTGTTCAGTTTATCAATGTCATTTGTCAAATGATGGGCAGCCAGGTGGTGCATGGATCGATTGCTGGGCCTGAAGGCAGGAAGACTTATCTTTCTGAGTTCAAATCTGGCCTCAGACGCTTAATAGCTGTGTAACCATGGGCAAATTACTGAACTCAGTTTCCTCATCTGTAAAACGAGCCGAAGAAGGAAATGGCAAACCACTCCAATATCTTTTCCAAGAAAACCCCAAATGGTATCGTGAAGAGTCGACACGATTGAAAACAACTAAACAACAACAGTGTCCAGAGTGGAATATAATTCTTCTGGTGTGGTCTCACTAGGGTTGAATTCTGCAGGACTTTATTCTCATTTCTGGATGTTAACAGCTTCCTTTATGCAACCTAAATCACATTGGTATAAAATTTAACATGTTTCTCTTGAATTTAATTGTATTAGATTCAACCTAGTGCTCAACCTGTCTATCCTGTTAAGATCTTTTTGTATCCTGACTTTGGGGATATCCAGAATGTTAGTTATTCCTCTAATTTTTGCCTCATCTGTAGACTTTCTGTTGGCAGTTGATTCAAATCATTGATAGTTGATAAAAATGTTAAGTTGTCCAGGGCCAAGTACAGATCCCTGGGCTGTCGGAGACCACTTTCTGAGAATAAATTGTCTGGGTTTTCCTTGTGAATCCTATTCATCTAGATCTGAATTCATCTGTCATCTATCCTACATCTTTGCCACAAGAATAACATTAAAGACTTAATCAAATTGCACTTATAATGAAAACTAAATAAGATTAGCTTGCATTCAGTGAGCACCTAACAATTTACTGTAAGATGGAGAGGGCCTAGAAATATAGTAGGGAGTCAAGTTTGGATGTCAGGAAAATAAAGTAGTTTAACTTTTAAAAAATGATTTTTTTTGAAAGAGTCAATGAAGCCTAGTGGATAAAATGAATAACTTTCTTTGGAGTCAGGAAGACCTGGGTTAAAATCCAGACTGTAATACTAACTAGCTTTTGACCCTAGGAAAATCATTTAACCCATAATACTTTTCTAAATCTTGGACTTACCCCTGAGTTGGTGGACTAAGTTATCTAAACTGAGTATTAGCATATGGGCAGTCCAAAAAATTACTTACCTGCATACAGGATAATAAAAAATGTTTGATGTTGACCATTCATACTGGCAATTTAATTAGCTTTTGTTAAGAGGAAAAGATCAGCAGTGAAAAGCTATATAACATTATGTAGATTTAGAAAATTATCCCATAGACCTAGTATTATTTTTTTCTCTGGTATCATGTATGTCATACTTTAAAGCAATTTTTGTTATTTTTGAAAAAGAAATTATGTCTTGATGTAAGAAAACCTTAAAAAAAACTTTTTTTTGCTTCCAGATATAAATAATAGACTAGTATTCTAAAAGTGTTTGTTACTTACTTTTATATATATGAGTCAAACTTTTATCATGTTATGCAGATCTGTTATGTATGTGGATCAGTATCACCGTAAACATAATCCTGTACTTGCCATATTTCTTCCAGGGGAAGGCAGCCAGCATCCTTTTGGAGCCATGAATATTACCCGTACTCCAACTGTTGCACAGATTGGCATTTCAGTGGAATTACTGGATAATCTGGCCCAGCTGACTCCTGTGGGCAGTGCTGCTGTATCATCAGTTGATTCATTCACTCAGGTAATGTGATGAAAAAAGAGAACAATTTAGCATATTTCAAAAGTCAGCCTGTTGGTTGTACAAATGTGAACATTTTTAAAAAATCACAGTTACCAACCTATGCATAGAAACTGGGCTACTTGTTTTACCACCAAGTATTTTGATCAATTAAGAAATATCCAATATAAGTGTTAATTTTTTGGATAGAAGATTAGCTGAGTGAATTTAAGTGGAATGTTGTCACAACTGACATTTACACAAACCTGTCAGGGGCTGTGCCTTCTGAGTGTCTGACATGTTATAAAGTCCTGCGCATCAGCATGCATCAGCACTCTGTTTTAACTGAGGAGAGGAAGACTGGTAGTATTTTTTGTCCGCTTGACTGAAAATGCACTCTTTTCAAAATTAGAATAGAGAAAAAGGATTTAAATATAAAGGAGAGATTCTTTTTGTGTTAAGTATAAAAAAGGTCTTTTTGTGATATGCTATCACATTGTTTACTGAATTTAAAAATTAATAGCGTCTAGTGCAGATGTAGTAAAGAAAACAACAAATAAGTTTTCATAAAGTATGTGAATTAAAATGAGTTTATAAGATAGTAGGAAATTATTTCTTGTCCTGTTGTTTACAAAGTGATGTGAATTCAGTTAATTACTTGAAAAATGGGAACCTGTATGTTTATGATTTATTTATTTTAAAGAGACAGTAGATCAAAATGGATAGAGTTGACCCTGAAGCCAGGAAAAATCAAGAGTACAAGTATTGCCTTTGATACCTCTTGGCTATGTGACCGGGGGCAAGTGTTGTAGGTGGCCCTCTGAGACTAATGTCAGAGAAACTTTCAGCCTGCATTGATGAGGGACTCTCCTATCCTAATGACGTTACAGATCCAGGCCCTATTCCTATTCATATTAGACTAGGGAGAGGGAGAGGCTGTGGAGATTATGGGTGAGTTTTGGTCTTTACCCATTTAAAACAAAATCTTTAAAGCATAAAATATTTGAATTTTCTAACTTAAACTGATTGCAAATAAAAAGCATGTCCCTTTAGTATGCCTTTAGTATTTGATTTGCTATCCATTAATTATAGGTCAAATAGTTTAAGTTTTTTTGTTCTTTCTCCCACCTTGTCCACTCCCTCCCCTTTATTTTAGAATTAATCTCTTCTCTTATCAACATTGATGTTTTTGTATGATTGTTTTCTGAAGCAGTCTTTCTAATTCTGTCCTTAAGGAGGATCCTCCATTATAAAGTTCTTAAAAGTGTTATCTACAGCTGATATTTGACTCTGAATTTTTGTTTTTGAGAAAGGTGGAAGAGAATGATTTTCTAGTGGTCAAAAAAAGTGGTGCTTAGCACCTGACTTAATTAACTTTTACCTTTGTGACCTAAGTATCTTGTTCAATTAACTCTGTGTTAATACTGTCCTGGGCATAGCTTTGAGATTGGTTTTTTGTTTTGAAGGGGCTGGGAGTATTTATATTGGGAAAAACATTTTTTTTCCTTTTTCTGTACATTCTCAAAATTTGTAAGCTTGGAAGTTAAAACTATTTGATAAAGACTGCTTTTGAATTATAAAGGCAGTACTAAAGAAACACTTATGGCTTCTAGAACAGTAGCATGCTGAAAATGCACAAAACTGTCAAAACCTATTCAAGGGAAAGATGCCCACATTTTAAGGCAATTAACTTTGGAGCATGAATAATAAATAGTTCAAGACTCAACGGTTTGACAAGATGAGAAAGGGATCTTTTATTTCATTTCATAAATAATTAGCTATAATATCTTAAAGTTAAAGAACCAAATAAACAGTATATTTTTGGCATTGTATAATAATTTATGAGCTGCTTATTTACTTTTCAGTTTACTCAGAAGATGTTGGACAACTTCTACAATTTTGCTTCATCATTTGCTGTGTCTCAGGCCCAGATGACACCAAATCCATCTGAAGTTTTCATTCCAGCAAATGTGGTTCTGAAATGGTGCGTGAAAATATTTGTTTTCACTTTTAATAACATTTATTTCCTGACAATACATTTATAAAATCAGAGGGAATGAATGTGTTCTTTATTGTCAGGAATACTGACTTTGGTGTCAGTGGACTTCTGTCTGAGCCTCAAATCTACTGTTTACCAGAAAGCATATTACAGTAGAAAGAACATTGACTTTGGAGTCATAAGACCTGGCCTCAAAGTCCTTCTTTGAAATAAACTGTGTGACCATGACCAAGTCAGTTAATCTCTCAGGACCTCAGTTTCCTCATCTGTAAATAATGAGGAGATATGAGTAGATGGCTTCTGAGGTGTTTTCCTATTTGTGTGACCTTTGGGTCTCATTTTACTCATCTGTGAAATTGAGTTACATCAGATAATCTCTAAGATCTCTTTCAGTTATAAATCTGTTGATCCTGTGGTTGTTCCTGTTTTTTGTTGATTATGTCATTTTACAGCCAAACAGACTTTTAAAGAAATTGTCTTTATCTCAATATTAGCAATAAATATTCATTTAATGGCTGGTTACTTGCATGACGTTAAACTAGGTACCACGGAGTTAGAGAGTACAGTTGTGCCAACCAGGCTCGTTTATGATAATATTATTCAGGTGTGGTGGCCAGACTCTACCATAACCACCCTAACCTTGTTGTAGCCTTGTGCTGAGCACTTTTTCTTCCAGGTAGTTCTTCCACATGCCATCCTAGTATAAGAGCATAGGAATGTAGATTTAGAACTGGAAGGGATCCCCAGGAGCCATTGAGTCCAGATGCTTATTATATAGATGAGGAAACTGAGATTTAGACAAGTAAAGTGACTTACCCAGGGTCACACAGGTAAACCCAGGCTTCTTACCATCAAAGCTACTATTTCTCCCCCTATACCGTAATGTTTTCTAGTCCAGAGGTATCAGACAAGTCCTGGTGCTGCTAAAACCAGACTAAAATGTAATTGGGAAGTATTTAACAAAATAAATAAAAATACATTTTTCCTTTCCACATTGTGACTTTCCCCATTGAAGTTACAATATATCACAGATTGGCATTAGAAATTAAATGAGAATTTTTTGGGAGTGTTATAGAAGCCACAGACAACACATGAAGGCCAGCAGACAACACAGAAAAAGTTTAGAAATTCAGAAGTGCATAAAATACATGTGTAGTATTATATAATATCTTCTTTGGTACGAAGGGAGGGCCAAAAAATTTTACGTGGATTTTGCAGATTGCAGGGGTGTCCCCTAACCCCTGCCATGTGGAAGGGATAAGAGTATAATGGAATATAATGTTAAGAAGTGGTTTTCTAAGTCAGTATGGGGCACTGGAATAGGTAACCCATTTCTAACTTGAGGTGGACACCACCCCTTTAGTCTACCTTCTTCATTTCATGGATGAGGAAAGTGAGCCCTAGACATATTAAGTGACTTGACCAAGGTCATATAGGTGTTAAATAAAAGGATTTGAATGCAAGTCTTCTGACTTCACATCTGTGCTCTTTACCACTGTGCCACCCTGCTGTATTCTCTGCAGCTCTGGTTTTCTCTTGACATGATAACCTCTTATAAAGTTGTTTCCCTTAATGTCATGTTTTCATGGAATTGATTAATGTCGTATATGAGAAATTCTTGTGCACAGAGATGTGTGGTTACTGCCCTAGAGGATTTTAAAACCAAGGTGGTTTTTTTTTAATACATAAAAGCAAAAAATGTTATCTGGAAATTTTTAGAAATATTAAAGATTTTAAGTTAATTTACATGTACTTTGAAGACATATCTAGAAAGACTTAAAATTTGATCATATCAACCTTCAATAAGTATTTACAATTTAGAAGCAATAATGGTCTACATAAAAATCAGGACATGCTACTTGAGAATTTTTATGCTTCTGTAGTTTGCTACAGAATCTATAGCTGTAGGTGATTTCAAGTTCCATGTTTTTTATACTTTGTAGGACAGCATTTTGGAATGAGGTAATGTATGTAAAGGCAAAGCACTTTATGTACCTTAAAGCTCTACATACGTTTCAGCTATTAATAATTAGTTATGTCAGCGTGAGTGGCATAGGAGTTGAAAAGAACCTAGACTTGGAGTTGAGAGAACTGTATTCTAATCCAGCTTCTTGACTCTTACTAGCTTTGTAACTATTGTAAGCCTCGAGGAAACAACTAAGTTTCTGTCTGTAAAATGGAGATAATACTTGTAGTACATACTTCAAATGAGGTTGTTTTGAGGATCAAATAAGAAAGTGTATGTAAAGTGTTTTGTAAACATTCAAATAACATAAATGTCCACTATTAACATTATTACCATTATAGTCCCTGATTGTTTTGAATTTGAAATTAAACGAATGCCAGTGAAATTAAAATACCTAATTGTAACTCTTCTTTACTAGGTAGTTGCTTCCCCTTCCCCCTTTTTCTGTTTGCTAACTTGTTTTCATTTTCTGCTATCCCCTGACTTGTGCATAATTTGGCATATGGTAAGAAATACCATTTTAATTTTCTCACGTGTAATTCTGTTTGCTTTCTTTTCTAGGTATGAAAACTTTCAAAGGCGACTAACCCAGAATCCTCTTTTTTGGAAAACATGATTTAAATAAAGTAATTTTTAAAGGGTTCTGAACCATTGTCATATTTTGAAGATAATAAACTAACCACCATTTAAAAGCATGAGGATGAAAGAGTAATGAAATCTAAATTGAAAAACTGCTTCTTAATTATTAAACTTAATTAAAATTTAAAAATTAGTTAAATTGAAAACATAATCTAAAATGTGCTCACTTGATTTTTTTCTTTACAGATAAAAAAGCTTCAAAAAGAATAAAAACATTTAATCTGAATATGTACTAATTAAAATAGATTTTTAAGTCATAATTTTGATGCCTCTCTGAGGAATATAAAACTTAACAAAAATGGCATCACATTTATAAATTCTGTTTAGTTTATTTTAACAATTTTGTTCCAGATTCAGTAATCAATTACATAAAATTTCTATTGTAGATTTCTCCCTTTAAAAACTTCGTGAATATACAAATTTCCATGTATTAGAAAATAACATATGGCTAGTTTTTTCTTGTGGTTAAAATAGTCTCAAGTTATGAAAAGCGGCTGTAGTTTTTATATTCTGAAAGCTCATACTTTTTTCCTCTGCATGTTTAGTAAACTTGTAATGTTCATTAATGAGCATGAATAATGCTCTGTGTTTATAGAATGTTGAAATTCCTTAACTGTGCATGTTTAGAATAAGCTTGGGGTTGGAGGGAGGAAGGGAAAATAAAAAAACAACACTTTTCTACTTTGAAAAATCTTCATGCTTTTAAAAAAATAATTTACACACAAATAAACCTTGTGTAAGCCAGGTTTCTTGATTTTTCTTTTGTGCCTGTTTGATGGGAGGGCAACTATGCTTAGAGATCCTTAATGTTAATCAGTTTCTTGATAATTCAGTAGGATTAGTGTGGCTGTGTTTTTTATATGAAAGGATACTTGTGCTTTTTTTTGTGACCCTTTATGATTATGTTTTCATAACTTAAATTAGTTTTTAACTAATCTAGATTTAATTTCACTACACCATTCCATAAAGATTAAGTCTCGTGTAACTGTTGTTCTACCATTGCAGAGCTTGAATACTTACTCTTTACAGAGTCAAGGAAAAGGAAACTGAGAGAATCCTTAGCACCTGTGTGCAGTATTTGGTCCAGCTATAATGATGATTAAGTGGGGACAGCTAGCAAGCATCATTTCTTGTCATGTTGGCAGATTTCTTGTCTCTTTATGACAGATTTTATACAAGATAGCTTAAAGTTTTTTCATGAATGTGTTTAAAATCAGCTTACTTGGATTTTTTGCTGGGAAGAAGCCACAGAAAGGCCTCACAAATTCCCTTCTCTTTTAGTTCCAGTGGACCAGTCCTGCAAATTATCTGACCTATTAGTGAATCGCTCTTGTAATAGTTTTACTAACCCTATTACCTCATTTTGTAGCTTCTTGAAAGGATACTCTTTTGGGCGACACAAGGGTAATAAGAGCTATGTGTTTGTTGCCAGTGCTTAAACGTTTGAGAATATTACCAAAATATGCTACTTAGATGTGAAGTCATTGAGTTTGGCAGAGGAATAATAGCTAATGTTACCCTAATTTAAACAGAGGCCAAATTGGTTAGATTTGGTTCTGTGGACCATAGAAAATAATTTTTCACATGAAAATGTGACCTGTTATATCTTTGCACACAAGAGGTCATAGTTTGCTTGTATTTAAAATATATGGCAAAAATAGAGCCTCTCCCATATCCCATCTCTATACCCCTAAAGTGAGATCTTATTGAAAGTTAAATTACAGGCTGAAGAGTATCACTGACCCTAGACTGTGTGCTGGTTTTATATTAATCAAATTCCCAGGAAAAATAGGCACCATCCCTTTGTTTTCATTCTGGCAAATTGCCTCTTAATCAGAGCCCCTCAATCAGTCCTTGCTTCATGTACATTCGAGTTACATAAATTTGACTTTATGTAGAGAATTCTGAAAGAAATCTACATTCCAAAAACATTCATGTTAACTTTACTGTATAGTACTGTGCTGTCTTTCTTATTTAGATAAATTGCCTCTTAATCAGAGCATTATTAGATACACAGTTCTCGCTTTGTATACATTCCTATTATGCAAATTTGACTCTATGTAAAGAATTCTGAAAGAAATCCACAGTCCGAAAAAACACATATGTTAACTTTACTGAACAGTACTGTCCTCTTTCTCTCTGCTCCTACCCCTCTGCTAGGTGCTAAGGCCTCCTACCCCTACCTGAAAAAAAAACTCTCTCCAAGTGAAATCAGAAGAACTGATGCTCTACCATTCCACTCTGGACTGGGGGCTTGGCTTGAGATTTTTAGCAAAGAAAGGAGACCTTTGCCCTGCTCTGCACACATGTGTAGCCCCTGTCTTCTGTCCATCCCTGCGAAGTACCACGTGTCTGTCCCCTTCCCTCTTTCCCTGTATTGCCAGTTCTCTCCTGTTTTGTGTCTGACCCCCACATGTCTGTTTCCCACAGTGTTCTTCCTCTTGGTTCAGGCTGGCTCCCTTCCCATCCTGGCCTGGCACCATTATGTTCCTCCTCCTGCTCTTGTTTCTCTGTGCCCTGCCCCTACCTGTCCTAGAACCTTGTACTGTCCCCCTCCCTCCCCAAGTGGGTGGTCCCCTTTCTGCCTCCCCTCCTCATTTCCCCAGATCTGTGTGCAAATTTGCATTATGTAAAAATTGCTTTACGTAGAGGTCTGCAGAAAAGTCGGTTTACCTAAAGTGAGAATGGTCTACTTCATGTATATACTTGCTGCTGCTAGTTTTTCTAGGTTTGATTTTTTATGGCCCGGGACCATAATGAATTTATTGGTAGCATTAGGGTAATGTTGGTAAGAGTAAGAATTTAAGAGGCAGGCTTACAAGTATAGTAGTTGTAGCTTTAAATCAAATAATAGTTTTTACTTATAATTCAACATGGAGGGGATTGCTGGTTGCATATTATTACATCAGTACTGCACATATGTATAGTTGTCACAATTAGAAGCAACATTTTTAAATATGAAGAAAATAATTTAACTAATTCTACATACACTAAAACATAGTGCTTGTTTTCAGCCTGTACAAATGACAGAATACTGATGGGGATTGGCATACCTGTCAGGTTGCACATTTTCAGTGTATGGTTGACCATAAAGCTAAAGCCATAAGGGAAAGAAATAGGATTGTATACCTATTGTAAGGATTGTTCTCCTTTTGACTTTTCTAAATACAAAATGTCTTTCTGACTACCTTTCCCTTCCACCTAGCAGTTTGAGCATCAAGCAAGTATAAGTCAGTGTTTGAAGTTTAATTCAATTTTATGTTTTATCCATGAAACATGGATGGTGTAGTTAACTATTGTGAACTACAATCTAGCACCTTTTCTGATCTTCCTTAGTTCCCTAAGGTAACTTTGAATTTTTGAAAACTGCTGATTTTTCCATTTTAAGAATTGGAGTACCAAGAAGCAATATCTCAGGGGAAGACCCTGCCAGGGCATCTTTGTATGTAATTATCTAAAAGATAGGAAGTTGAGAGTAAGTGTGAAATCAGGAACTTATCAAATAGTAGTAGTGCCTTTGGGGTTGTTCTATACACATCAGTGCAACTGGTCAGGGAAAGGCTATCTGGTCTTAAAACTTAGTTTAGATAAGTAATGACAATCACTCTTCTAAAACAACTGTTAAGGATTGAAACTAGGTAATTACATTTAATAATATCAAAGAATGCTGTTGATAAGTCAAGTACAATGTGGGATAGATGGCCCTTTCTAGAAGAATTGATTTAGCCCTTTTTCTAAAGAAAGACCTAAAAACCTGACTGGTTAATTATCAGGTAATTGCAATGAATTCACAGAAAGAACTTAAATTTTTTATTTTACTCTAAATAATATTTTATTTTTTCCTCAGTTAACATGTAAAAACAATTTTCAACATGTTTTTAAAAATTTTGAGTTCCAGATCTCCTCCTTCTCTCCCTTCCCTCCTCTCTCTTTAAGGCAGTAAGCAGTTTGGTGTAAGTTGTACATGTGCAGTCATGAAAAACATTTCTATATTAGTCATGTTGTGGGGGGGGGGGAAGACACCCCTCCCCCATGGGAAAAAATAAAGTGACAAAGTATGCTTCTATCTCGATTCAGACTCCATTAGTTCTTTTTCTGGATGTGGCTAGCATTTTTCATCTTGAGTCCTTTGGAATTGTCTTGGGTCATATTGCTGAGAATAGCTAAGTCATTCATAGTTGATCATCTTATAGTATTGTTACTGTGTAAAATGTTTTCCTGGTTCTGCTCACTTCACTTCTACATCAGTTCATGTAAGTCTTTACAGGGGTTTTCTGCAATCAACCTGCTCATCATTTCTTATAGCATAGTAGTATTCCATCACAATCATATATCACAACTTGTTCAGCCATTCCCCAGTTGATGTGTATCCCCTCAATGTCTAATTCTTTGCCATCACAAAAAGAGCTGCTATAAATACAAATAGGTTCTTCCCCCTCCTCTACCCTCCCCGTGTTTTAAAAAAAATTTCTTTGAGATACAGCTAATAGTGGTATTGCTGGATCAAAGGTATGTACCATTTTATAGCCCTTTGGGCATAAGAACTTAAAATTTTTACAGCACCATTCTTTTTTTGCCAAGGGAACTATATGTTTGTTAGTGGAATAGACATTTAGACTGTTTTGGAAAAAAAATGTTAAGGCTAACCACAGAAATAGTATGACACTTGAAAAATTGTGAATGATTTAGTAAGATAAAAGTGAAGTTAAAAATGCCTGGGGTTTTCATAATGATGGTTTTTTGAAAGTAGCATTATAAATTATCTTAAATTATGGCTACTATTTTGTTATACTAACAATAATGGCAATCTCTGGAGTAGAAGAACTGTTAAAATGCTGATTCACTCAAAAGGTTAGTTATGCTGTATATACATGCTAGATGATATCTGTCAGTGATCATTAATTTAGTTGTCTTTATAAGTCTAGTCTCAATCTACTAGCTTATTTAGCTATTTAATATGTTTTGACCTCAAAAATATGTAGGGCAGCAAGAATGCTTCTGTTTT